AAGGCTATTGAACTGTATTGCTGATTCTCGACGATCACATCGCTGATTATGTTCAAGAAGCAATCTGCAATGCGGAATTACAAAGGATTAACGGAAGGATATGTACTTTCATTCCCTGTTCCTGTTGATCACGGACGTGTCTGTGACAACATTTTTCACACTGTCAAACAGAAATAGAATGATTTTCGGAGGCCAGATTGTGCATGGATGATTTACGGTTGTAGGGCGGGTGTGGAAATTGCAGAGATGAAAAAATGAGGGCGAGTTAGACAAGTTCCACTCGTATCAGTTTCAGATATAATAGTGCACACATATTATTGGAATACAAACTGCATGGTACGTGCTGCGTGTCGAAGAATGGCTCAGGGCCCTGAGCTAATCTGTGTCTTGCGAAGCGTATACCTAACTTGTGGATCGTTCGTTACAAGTTAGAAATAACAGACATTTTCCATCAATCACGTTCTGCACGACGTACTGGAAGCTGACTTTGGTAGTTGATCTTTTCGTTGGTTTCATGCGGCTTCGGATGAGGCTATGATAAAATATATGAATTCTCAATTCGTTGATTTGATTCACATTGACATGTACCACTCAGCATAAGAGGCTTGCTGTAGGGAGTGTTTGGGATGGTCATACCTTCAATTAGACATTCCTTCGTGACAAGTAAATGTCAAGCGTACAGCACACTTGGGAACTGTATCAAGCTTTCACACAATCCCCTGAAATTGTTTTGGGTTCATCTGACAGGGAAACCCTGTGTAGCCTGAATCTTCTCAAAGATCTTCGGCCTACATGCGTGTGTCTTGAGTTATATTAATCTAATAGAAGTGTCAGTTTTAAAAAATATTCCAGTGATTAACCATACCTGTATAATCTTAAGTACTTGTCGTAGGTTTGATTATATTGCTGAATGTATACCTTAGACCTACTACATTTTTCACTTCAAAATAGTCGGTAATATGCAGTGTCTGGCACCGACCTAACCCTCACAGTGTCACACTTATAATGCTATGCTTGACCTGGTAAATTCTCCGCATACCGCAAGGTTAACGACTATGCTTTCTTGTTCTGAAAATGCTAGTGACTTTTTTTCAACAACTATTTTAGTTATATAATTGTCTAAAAGCTATATTTCTACGTATCAGACGAATTTATGGCTCAAAGTGAGAAAATTGCCTCGCTATCGTTTACTGCCTTTCTTAGATGATTTTCTTCGAACTGAACGTATTATTCGAATAGTCGCTACAGGTGGTCAGTAAAATCTCACCATCTATCGGCAAATTCAAACACATCACGACCACACCGCAAGGCCCTTGCCTCTTTGAAAAACCATATTCAATCTGTTTTCATTAGCGCGTTCTTCTGTGTACATATTTGCCTATTAGCTTATAGCCGCGCGTGGCTAGGACTAATAAATTACTGCTAATATTATTGAACAAATCAGATCTCTTTTACAAAGGTAATTCTCTCTCAGTAAACTTTCTGAGGATCTTCCGGATGCGTTTATCTTTAGGGTCCTCCACTCCTAACAGGGAGTCTTGACGCAAGTCTCCTTTGGCGTCGTAGGTAAGGTTTTTTCCTGAGTTCCCACGATCGTCTCCTCTACACTTGTTACAAGGCTGGTCATGAAATTTAATTTTTCTCTCCCTCAATCTCTCGTTTTCCTTCTTTAATATTTCGTTTTTTGCTTTGAGGTCTTCTCTTTGATCATACATTCCATCCTTTATCTTTTTAAGGTATTCGTTATCGCTTTGTGCCTGTTCTAGATATATAGATGTCTTGAGAACGCAAGCGTTGGCAGCCTTCTTCTCTTTTACTGCAAGGACGAATTTTTGACGCCAGTGCTCCAGTGCTGATCTGGCTTTTAAAAGATCTGCACTGACATCCTCAAGTGCAAGCTCAGCTACCGAGAGTCGCTGTTTGAGTTCATCATTTTCTTGACTATCACGACGGCGTTCTTTATTTTTCTGCAACTGCAGCCTTTCGGCTTCATAGGACAATTCGTTGACAAGCGATCTCAATTCCTTGATGCTCTGTTGCTGCAGCAATAATAGCTTTAGCGTGGCTTCAACCTCATGCTCAGCTTCGGCTTTGGCTTTAACCACTGTCTTGCCATGTGAGATGGCTGTTGACTTGGAGCTAAGGTAAACAGGACGTAATGTTCCTTCCGTGGAGGCTAAGAGTTTTTAATTTAACGGCTAGCCGATTTAAAAAAAAGAGCAGAACATGACTCACGGAGTTTTTGACGGCATGTTGGACAATGCTGCTCAATACGAGTATTCTTCCATGCCTTTATGTAAGCCTTTAAACAAAACGTGCAGAATATATGACCTATAATGCTTTAGCTTCCAAATTGTGCTCTTATAGATCGAACAGACTTACCGCATGGCGTGCAAACGGGTGAGTTGCTGGCCACATCCTCCAAGCAAATCGGACAATCCATTTGTAAGTAACTTCAGCGTGTGAGAAGATGTAGTAAGTGAGGAAAACTAGTTTCGGATCGGGAGCGTACGATTTATATCTCCTAAATTATTGTCTGAGACTTGATTTGGATTTATAAGTTAGAACGCGGTGCATCTATTTATAGATTATCACCAAGACCCGAAAGGCATACGAGAAGGACTGATGAGCTGTTCCTGAAGCGGAGTTCTAATCTATCATCACGTTTGCAAGTCGTCATCGTCGTCGACGTCCTTCGTGCTCACCGCCTCTACAATTTATGACCAGCTCCTCCAAGGCTGCCTTCTTTGAGGTGATCATTGATGTGCACATTTCGCTCAATTATTTGTCCTCTCTCGTGTTAACAATCTTCTGCACGGGCCACCGGGGTTAATACCAGCGCGCGATAGATCGTCTTCGATAACGCGAATCATAGGAGAAAGTGGTGCACTGGTTTGCAGAAGTGCAGATGTTGAATGCAGTCTTTCTAGTGAGTATCCTCCTGATCGAATGTCAGGTGTACGGTGGCGAGTCCCTTGTCGTTCTGGGCCCATGCTCATCAGAGGGGTACTGGCATTTGCCAAATTTCGTTGGTACTCCTTTTTTCCCAGTGCCCGTCGGCTGAGCAACCAGTGAACCTTGAAGCAGCATATAATCTACGCTCGCATCTGTGACTGCGACTACCGTCAGGGCATCCAAGAAGCAGAGGGGGATAGGTATCGTTGAGGATGTCGTGGACGAGCTTAAGTGTATCGAGAGCGAGGGCGAAAGATTGGGGGCTTGGTGCTCGTCGGAGGAAGACCGTACCCATCATCAGGGGATCGGTGCTGATCATCTTGGAATCGTTGATTGCCATTAACCATCCTCTGACATAGTCCCTCTGTCTCCCGTCGTCGGGTTGTCTAAGGCCTACCAATCAGGACGACTCTGCCCCCACGCACGAGAACATTTGTACCCCAGTGGAGGAAATATCGAGGAGATAAGTGAAGCCGGTTCCTGGTTTCCATGCAAGAATGCATTCTTTGGTTGTCTTACAGCCATTTCTCGTCGCCTTGGGATCGTTCGTCGTTGTAAGCCCAACGCACCTCAGCATGTCGCCACCCAGCGACCCGAACGTCTATATGCCTATGGTCTGATTGTCCTTGTGGACCAAGACCTTTTTATCAGCAAGGATGGTACCTACAGCGCTCTCTTCACCGTTCGCATCGCGTACAGTCACAGCGATAGCGACGCCGCAGGCTTTGTATGCCAAGAACTCAGAGGAGGCGGTTTACTATCGTGACTGTAGATCACTGGCATGTTGCTCACCCTTCCTACGCCCCTCGAGTCGCATATAGTAACTCAATCCCGGCTTCACATATCTAAAGAGAAGCATGGAGATCATGGACATGATTCGGAGAAGCTAATGAAACGTATCACAGGCATCGAGGAGGATGGGACGAATAGCGATGGGAGCGAGTGTCGTTGTTTTAAGAGCGTTGCATTCATCTCGTCTTCTGTCTGTGAGCCTGGAAATGATTCCACTAGTGCCCTAGCCGTTTGAAGGCCCAACAGCTATCTTTCGGACGTGGAGTAGCTATTGCCCTGAGAACACATATCCATTCTACACCGCCCTACGAGGACGTCTATCCATCCATCTATTTGGGATCTTGGACCCCATCTTTGGGCGTTTTCAAGCGTCGTCCTAAGAATCATCCGAGCCCCTTACATTCTATAGCCTGAAGGCAAGTTGGTCGTTGCCTGGGTCATGAATATCATGAAGAGCAGGGGAATCAGCATCAACAGTGGGCTACTTCTTACACGTCATCGTATCGGTGTTGGGGGCCTTGTTCTAATGGCGCTGACCATCTTCGGGGCCCGTTGCTCTTCTAATTGTCCACATCATCCTCGGCCTATTCGTTTTGCTAGCGATATCATTGATGGGTATCATTGGTTTCCGCCTTGCACTTTTGCCCAATTCATCACCCAATCTTATTTGAGACGTCTATTCTCACTATTTAGTAAATTGAAGTTGCGTAGTGAAATTCTCTGAACGCGCCACTTATGCATAAGCATTCAGAGCCGAGCCGGAAGGATGAGATTTTTCTGAGCTCGGCTATGAGCCTCATCAGCTCGTTGCATTTCTTCTTCTTCTTCATCTTGTTCAACGTCGGCCATCATTCTGCCTGACCGTCACCTTGTGTTCGACGCAGCGCCTTCACCAGAGTCAGATATAGAGGCGGTATCCGTTGGATCGAGGTATCGGGAACTAACGAATGTATAGCTTGCTTAGCATGTTACAATATGATCACTAAACTGTCAGAAAATGAAACATTGTTATCACGCAGAATATGCGACTTATTTCATCGTTAAAACAGCTGTGGCCAGAGCCACATCGTATTAACTGACTGCGAGTAATACCCTTTTACATTTCTATGCATAACACAATCTTTTTTTGTGGTACCAGATGACTCGCTGCGAATGAGATCTCATTAGGCAACCGCTCAGCCATGGCTCACTGAACGTAAAATCGCATTGGATATCCGCACAGACTTTTGCCAAAACGTCTCTGAACAATGGGATGCATCAAGAGGGAATTGAACCCCCGGCGGGTCGAGATCTCAATATCTGATTCTCGATGGCAACGACCCAGGTTACCACTACCCCATTGATGCGTGTTATGACACAACCTATATTATATTTGATTCTATTCATATATTTCAAGACCTTTCTGCTAAACATGACCTCGAAATATTTCCCGAAAAGTATTAAACAAGCAACCAACAAAACTTCAGGCTAAGACAAGCAACATGAACGCTTAAAAGGAGAAAAATTACAATTTCAAATTTCAAATGATACAGTAGATAATTTCGACTTAATCATCAGCCTCCCCAATAATAACATTGCCCTTATAGGCCGTCTCCTTCCCGGTATTATCGTTCTTGATTACATAGCGTGGTTCTTTTTCGGAAGCCTACAATTAATGCGTTCTTCCTCTCACTACTAAACAAAGGTATAATAATACAACATACCTTGACTGTGACGCCAGTATCCCCTGCGGGCTGAGGCTCAGTGAGAACGTCGACAATCTCGCCGGTGGTGGTCGAATTCTTTGTTGCTTCACTGCGTCCTCCGACAGCTTGGTATTGGACGTGATCGCCTTCCTATAAAACAGTTCAACGATTTGCTAGATGTTAACGAAGAGAGAAACATACTTCGAAGTTTGAAGATCCAGTCATGATGCTAGTTCGAATGAGAAAGATGAAAGGTGAATGTGAGGTTGGTTATTGAAGATGGTTGTTGAAGATGATTGTTTCTGGAGTTTAGATGCAGCCTTAGGAGCTTTATATATGTTTTCTATGTAGATTGAAAACGAGGAGTTGTGAAGTTTGAGTGGATAATGGTTGCGTAAAGTCGGTGCTCATGCACTCATGATTGACGTCAAGGGCATGTTTGTACAAAAATTAACTGAACCTGATCCACAGCGGGGACCTTGATGTCCCGTTGCGCTTCCGATTGTGCCACCATGGAGTATACTGGCCCTGAATGTTGAAGAAATTCCTAAAACAATTTTATCGAAGTTCAAAGAAGCTAAAGCGAACATGAGATGTGTTGTGAGCTTCATCGATTGCATCATATCGTCGTTCATCGTTGTCGTAGTAGCGTTATGGTTGAAAGTTCAGACGAGTCAGCCGAACATCGAGAAGTTGCCGTCACGGCCACTTTACTGCTTGTACAGTTCGAAGGCACAGGGAGTAGTGGGAGGGATCGATGGGGGTCCAAATCGTCTGTTTACGCATACTTCCGTACAACGTGGCAAATAGCGCCGTAAAAACGGCGTAGAATTTTACAATGATATATCTACTTTCAGAAGTGCTATCTATGAGCCAATTTTCAACTATTGGATGTAGCTAAAGCAATTTTTTGCTTCCTTACTGTCGATACGGTATGCTAGTTTTTAAATTATTCATTATCAACGCTCAGAGTACATACGAACAATGGCTAGCTTTAGGACGCTAAGTTCATAGAATATTAGCGCTTAACTCCAATTCAATTTAGTTGCTGCTGCGAAGTCGAATCTGTTTTGATATACATCAAGATCCCCGCTTGTGGATATGGTTCAGGGAATTTATGTAAAAACATACCATTGACGTCAATCATGAGCAGCGACGTTACGCAACTATAATCCACCAAACTTCTCAAATCCTCGCCTCAAACCTTTACAGAAAGCGTATATAAGGCTCTTAGGGCTGCGGCTAAACTCCAGAAACAACCATCTTCAACAGTCAGCCTTTCATTCACATCTTATCTTTCTCATTCAAATTCACGTCATGACTGGATCCTCAAACTTCGAAGTATGTATCTGTCTTCGCAAACATCCATCAAATCATTGAACTGTTTTATAGGAAGGCGATCATGTCCAATACCAAGCTGTCGGAGGACGCAGTGAAGCAACCAAGAATTCGACCACCACTGGCGAGATCGTCGACGTTCTCACTAAGCCTCAGCCCGCGGGGGATACTGGCGTCACAGTCAAGGTATGTTGTATTCGTGTACCCTTCCTTGCTTAGTGAGAGGAAGTGCTCATTGAAATGTAGGCATCCGAAAAAGAACCACGCTATGTAATCAAGAATGATAATACTGGGAAGGAGACGGCCTATAAGGGCGATGTTATTATTGGGGAGGCCGATGACTGAGTTGAAGGTTTTAATGCTGTACCACTTGAAATTTGAAATTGTAATCTGTCTACCTTGAGTATTTGTGTTGGTTGCATTAGTTTGATCTGATAGGAATGTCTTCTTCATCTCGTGGTGAATACCTTAAATTTACATCCCAGAAAAATTCAAGAAGACTTTCTGCCATGTGTGTTGTAGGGCTCGAAAATCTATAAATAGAATTGTATATTAATGGTCGATTCCCGATCTATCAGTAGTTATTTCTGATCCGCTCGTAAGATGATCGACAGACCTAAAAAGCCTTGCGCTTATAATTAGATAGATTTTCCGGAGCATGCTGTGATTTTACTCAGACAAGAGACGTGCAAAATAAAAACTCTTGATACGGAGCTCTCACATTTCTAGTTGGAGGTATCAAGCGTGATGCCGTCCGGCGTCAGGAGTTGCTATCATTTTGATGTCTACCCGCGGCCAACTAAGTAGATATTTCGCTTATAAGAACTGTACATTCGAGCTGGTATGATACGTCTCAGTTCATACCAATGCAGTGCACTAAGCTTCATATATGACAATTAGTTAAGGAGCGTAATAATATCGCCACGCCGACAATATTCACTAATATACATCTCATATATAGAGACAACAAGAGAGCGGAATATAGCGAAAAGGCGTTGGAGACGCTTCTCAACTACGAATCCTCATTCATACACCCTTCTTACCGGATAACTTTCTCGGAACAAGTGAAACTACAGATTTTGCAGGTATACTTTTTCGCGTATTGATTTGTACCGGACATACTAAAATAATGATATTGATCGGTGCATTCGGGCAAAGGAGTGCGCTGAGGACGTGACGTGCCCCGATAGAGGATATCATCTTCTGTCCGCAGAGCTCTGTCGGGTACTCTGTCTGTAGCAGATGTACTAAAGTTGGCAGAAAGCGGTTTAGCGATGGCTTGTTTGAGGGGATGAACTCGTCCTCGACGGGAATCAACTGCAGCATGGAACGACTGGGACAATTTGGCAGTGGGATGGTCGATCGGCGGTGAGAAGGATGGGCTGGGCAGAGTCAAAGAATTTAGGGTCATGTTATGGTCGACAACTCATTTAATATTAATAGCATCTGAAGTACTAAATAACTGGATTTACGCATCTACTGTAGTCCTAGGGAAATGAGCCGCCAATCCAACGGTTGAACGGTGAGCATTCCGGGCTGTGGGAACAGCGCTAGCTCTGCGAAGATCATCTTCGGCTGCTTGCTTCATGTTTCTTGTTTGTATATGTGCCAACCGCTCGTCCTTCAGCATGTTCTCAAGAGTCGCTAACTCACGGATTTTAGTGTGAGGTGATTCTATAACTTCCTCAAACTCCTCTTGTATAAGATGAAGTTTATCTTCCGTTCGCTGATGAGCGGCCTTCTCAAGCTCTAGCTCCCGCTTAAGCAGCTCAATCTAGCGATCTTTCTCCTTAAGCTTATTCTCTCTCGCAAGTTCTTTATCATCGGATCTAACTCCTTGAAGAATGAGGCGAGTGTAGGCGATGGTAGAAGTGCTCGGAGCTGACGAGTTGTATCGGCATAGTTGAGGCATTCAGCGACGAGAGCCAGCTCCTTTTTGTATAAATCCTTCCATTTCTGAGCAGCTTCCTCTCCCTTAATTCTCTCGGCAGGAAGAGCTTCATCGACATATTTCTGCCATTGTGCATCTCGGCTATTCCGCAAGGAAGTTTCTCTCGCAGCCTGTGCCAGAGCGGCATCCCTGGCTGCTCGGCTGCCTGAAGAGCGATCTTGAAGTTCTGAATCTCCGTGGTGTCTGCTTCAGCGTTTTGCACGGACAAGAAAAAATTCTTTCGAACAGAAAGGTGGAGATCCTCCCCTAATAGACCAGCGCTTAGCTGAGCTTTTTTTTTTTGTACATTGAGGTTGCATCACTATCACTACAGGTGGCTGGGTGACCAGGTACCAAGCCATTTCGCCATTTCGTTCTACATAGGTATATTTCGGGATAAAACTATTTATGAAGTGTCTATTCTATTTATGGACCGAGTGAGAAGACATTGTCGTCCTCAGCATGTCGCGTTCCCTGCTGGAGCGCTGGCAATAAGAGCGTAAGCGTGGGCTTAATCAATCATGGAACAGGAGGGGAAAGGAAGATCAAAGTGACCATGATAGACTGATGTAGTTAATCTCCAATTCATAGAACTTTGAGGCTCGTAGTCGAATACGAGGTCCCTTATATACTGTAGCTAGATTGTAGAATGTAGGTAGCCTAAAGCAGTGTTATGATGCTATCTACTGATGAGTCTGATTCTAGTGAAAAGTATTAAGATAAGGTAAATGAGTACGTTCATGTTGAATATCTGTCAAAGCAAGTTATGTCAGCTGCAATAAGTTTGACAGAGGACGAGGAGAAAAACCTCAAAGAATAGACCAAATGAAAAGGTGTACAATACTTACACATCACGATTCACAGGTACACCAGGGATTGTCCTCTGATGTTATGCTGTTGCAGAAGTTGATGTTGACTCATGGCAAGGTACATACAGAAGCACATGATTAGAAGAGTTCTAGGCAGGTTATAATTAGCAATACCTAACGGAATATTATAAGATAAGGCTATGAGAATAACCAATAAGAGAGAAACGAGATGACCCATGAGTAAGTACGTTATAACTCATCTCAGTCGGAAGAGAGTTTGACTCGCTATCTAAGAGTCTTCTATACCAGAAGAAATAATAAAAGGAGTAGCCACTGCAAGCAAGTACGAAAATACATGTCATATGGTTCTAGGTTATCAAGTCAGAGAATAAATACGCTGCTAGTGCGTCTAAATAGTAAGTGGGTCAAATAGTAGGAGAAAGTGGATACCCAAGGGCAAGAGAATCATGGGACAGTTTGTATTTCCAACAGTGGGGGAATGTAAAGTATCGGCTGTGAACAGTGTCACACTGTTCTATTCTTGTAGTAAATCTTACCGATTGCTGATTCTTGACGATCACACC